TTCCTGAGACTAGTAATGTAGGTGTTTCAGTCTTGGATCCAGCAAACCACATGGACGAAGATGGATTTGTCAGATAGAGTCGTGTCCTTGGCCCGTTGAGTCAGAGTCAGTCAGCATCGGAGATGTATCTTGAGGGGAACATCTGAAGCCGTCTTATGCTGTGATCCATCCAGCCCACATCTAGGGAGCTCAAATCCAGGGCCCAATCCAACAATGTGAGGGTCACTTTCCATGTCCTTGGCTTTCTCAAATATTTTTCCTGCGTTACCTGGTAGGTTCTCTGCTTCTGTTAGGACTCCAATTCTGAAAGGTTAACCTGTCTCTCTGAGCTTTTTGTGGCATAGTTCATCCTTTTCTTGACCAGGAACGGTCCTGAGTACTTCTGTGCCATCCCACTTTCTCATTCAGTTTGAAAACATCCTGGTTTCTCATTCCAATTCTGCAAACTGAGTTTGGAGGGCACAGGCAAACAGTAGTAATGGGGGGAAGTGAAGAGGAGGCTAAATGAACTTCAACAGAGAGAAATGCTTTCCACTTAGGCAGAAGAAATGAAATGCACAGCCCATGTGAAAGGAATCTAGAGGTCTAAAACAGTGGTTCTCAACCTGTGGGTCCCCAGATGTTTTGGCCTTCAACTCCCAGAAATCCTGTAGGCCAAAACACCTGGGAACCCACAGGTTGAGAACCACTGGTCTAAGAGGACCATAAACCAACCGTGAGTCCAGTATGTGATGTGGCAACTTTAAAAAGCCAATGTGACATATTGATGGAAGCATACTCTCTAGGTCAGTGGTTCTTGACCTTTTTTTTTTACTAGGGACCACTTGAGCAGGGGCCACAGCCACTTTAACCAGGGACCACCTGACCAGGGACCATTTTGACCAGGGACCACTTTGACCAGGGACCACTTTGACCAGGGACCACTTGATCAGGGACCACTTTGACCAGGACCACTTTGACCAGGGACCACTTGACCAGGGACCACTTGACCAGGGACCACTTGACCAGGGACCACTTTGACCAGGACCACTTTAACCAGGGACCATTTTGACCAGGGACCACTTTGACCAGGGACCACTTTGACCAGGAACCCATTAGTACCAAAAGGGTTACAAATGTTTTGGTTTGGGGTGCTGATTCAGAAAATTAGATAGACCACATCAGCTCTTGTTTCTGATACAGAACACATGCCGTGGTCAGTGACAGGGAAGGAGTGGTAGGCGGCGCAAAAGGAGCAGAAATAAAATAAATAAAATAAAATAAATGAAGAGGAAAGAGGCTTGCAGACCAGATTTTCATCCCCGTGGCCCACTGGTGGTCCATGGCCCACAGGTGAAGAACCACTGCTCTAGATCAGAGGAAGTCCTAGTCCCCCTCTCTTGTGTTCTGGTCAGACCTCACCTGGAATAGCCCTGTGCCAAGTTCTAGACAAAGCAATCCAAGAAGGAGATGGAGAAGCTATAAGGTGCCTAGGGAAGGGCCAACAAAATATTCCAAGGTCTGGAAACCATGACTCCCTATGAGGCGCTGAGGATGTTTAGCTTGGAGGAGAGAAGGCTGAGAGGGGACACCAAAGCCACGTTTAAATATCTGAAACAGTGGTTCTCAACCTGTGGGTCCCCAGGTGTTTTGACCTACAACTCCCAGAAATCTCAGCCAGTTTACCAGCTGTTAGAAATTCTTGGAATTGAAGGCCAAAATATCTGGGGACGCACAAGGTGCCAACCACTGATCTGAAAGGATATCGCAGTGAGCTTGTTTTCTGCTGCACCAGAGACTAGGACACATTGGAGGCATGGATTCAAATGGCAGGAGAAGAGGTTCTACTTAAATAGGATAAAAAACTTCTTGTTTTAACAGTTTGAGGTTGGTAACGTCTGGAGGTTTTTAAGCAGAGACTGGCTGGCCATCTGTCAGGATGGCTTGGATGGTGTATTCCTGCTTGGCAGAATGGGGCTGCTTGCCTGGCAGAATGGCCTTCCAGCTCTAGTGGGGCATAGATGGCCTTAGAGTCCATTGGAGTCTCCTTCTCTTTAAAGTCTTTAAGCAGAGAATGGATGGTCAACTGTCAGGACGGCTTGGATGGTGTCTTCCTGCCTAGCAGAATGGCCTTCCAACTCTAGTGGCGCACAGATGGTCTTGGGAGCCCATTGGGGTCTCCTCCTCTTTGAAGTCTTTAAGCAGAGGATAGGTGGTTATCCTGCCTGGCAGAATTGGATGGTGTCTTCCTGCCTGGCAGAATTGAGTTTCACTGGATGGCCTTCCAACTCTAGTGGGACAGAGATGGACTTGGAGTCCATTGGAGTCTCCTCCTCTTGGAAGTCTTTAAGCAGAGGCTGGATGGCCATCTTTTGGAGGTGCTTTGGTTGTGTCTTCTTGTTTGGCAAAAGAGATTTGGGCATGATGGTCCCCGTGATCTCTTTCAACTATGATTTTATGATATATAGATATATACTCACATACATGCTACGGGTTGGGCGTGATGGCTCTTGAGGTCTCTTCCGAATCTAGGATTCTGAGCTTTCTGTGCTAAGGTTCTCTCAACAGAACAAAAATGACGATTGTCCCTACAGTTCTCTCAGAAGATTTCAGCCTGTAAGGTTTTTGCAAGAGCAAGGTGGGCTTGCATAGATACCTGGTCTCATGTAATGAGGTTCAGAACTTTTTCCTTGATAGAACATGAAAGTTGGAAGCTACTCAAGGCTTCTTCTTCTAGTTCACCCTCTTCCTAATGCTGAAGCATCTCCATCCAAGAAAGGAGTCCACCATCCGAGGTCAGACAGTTCCTGCCACGTTCTTAATCTCAGCTCAGAAATTCTCCTTGTCCTTTGAATCCATGGATTTTGGAAACCAGCCATTCCACAGAAAAAAACATTATGTTCCTCCCGTTGTTCCCAATTTATTTTATTTTTTAACAAACTGAAGCAGATGGGAGGAAAAGAAGAGCTGTTCTTTGTTGTCGAGTGAGAAGACAATGAAGGGAGCCATTCCAACACCAGATTATGCCTAAGCATGTTGGTTTTCTTAAGACTGAAAAATAAATAAATCCAAATATATTTTTAAAGCATTTCTGCTAGGAATGTTAAGCATCTTGCTGACCTTGAAGACTGGTGATTTCATCCTTGCACATCAGACAGACCACATTGTTGAGGATTGTGTTCCTGGTTGCTTTCACTTGGTGGCCAAGCTTCTGATCGGACTTAGTTTGTTATAGTTTCCCAAGGTCCATACCCTTCTCTGGGTTCATTTACACTATGGAATGAATGCTCTTGGACACCACTTTAAATACCATAGCTCCATACTATGCGGACCTGGAAGTTATAGTTTCCTAAGTTTCATACCCTTCTCTGGGTGCATCTGCACTGGAGAATTAATGCAGTTGGCTATTTTATTATTATTATTATTATTATTATTATTATTATTTGAAATCAACAAGATGAGTCCACAACAGACACTCTGCTGGCTTTTGTATTAATCACACATCGGACACTTCCCAAGTGTCTACGACTGTGTGATGTATTGGCAAATAATGCATGCAGATCCGAGTAGCATGGCCTTTTGCAGCTGCCAGATGGTTATTTTGTTAGCACCAATTGTTTTTAAGTGCAGGCCAAGGTCTTTAGGCACTGCATCCAGTGTGCTGATCACCACTGGGACCACTTTTACTGGCTTGTGCAAAAGTCTTTGCTCTCGATTTTTTTAATCCTCATATCGTGTCAGCTTTTCCAGTTGTTTCTCTGCAATCCTATTATTATTATTATTATTATTATTATTATTATTATTATTATTATTATTATTATTATTTTATTTAGGACATTTATGTCCCATCCTATCTCGACCTCCACAGAGGGTCTCAGGACAGCTAACAACAGCATAGATATACATATTAAATAAAAACAGTATAAAGCGTCATAAAAACATTAAAACAATTGCCAGGACAGTCCATCAGAGTCCATTAAAACCATAGCTTTGCCATCAAAACCATCTAGTCCGCAAAGGCCTGATCCCACAGCTAGGATTTCACTTTTTTTTTTCTCCAGAAAGTTAGCAAGGATGGAGCGGATCTGATTTCACTTGGGAGGGAATTCCATTATTTTATTATGCCATGTCTCTATGCTGTGTAGTCCTGGGAGTCATAGTTTTCCAAGGTCCATACCCTTCTCTTGGTGCATTTACAGTATGAAATGAATGCCCTTGCACCCCACTTTAAATGCCATGGCTCCATGAAATGTTATAGTTATAGTTTCCCAAGGTCCATACCTTACTTTAAATTCCATGTCTCCATGAGATAGTCTTGGGAATTGCAGTTTCCCACGGTACATGAAACTTCTCTGGGTGCATATACACCATGAAATGAATGCAGCTGGATCTTACTTTAAATGCCATAGCTCCATACTATGCAGTCCTGGGAGTTATAGTTTTCCAAAGTCCATACTCTTCTCTGTGGGGCATCTAAGAGAGAAAGTGAGAGAGAGCATCACCGCTCCCCCCCCCCCTTTTTTCTGGTTGATATTTGAATGTGATTTTCCTGCTTCTTGGCAGGGGGTTGGACTAGATGGCCCACAATGTCTCTTCCAACTCTATGATTCTATAATTTTAAAGAGAGGAGGTTTTATTCCCCC